CTCAAGTCACATTAAATACAATGGCTTAGTAAAATTGTGCCCCTTATTTACAATAACAAAATCAAGGCTTGCTTTAGGATTTGTGTGTCTGTGTGTGTGAATGTTTTTGAATCATGGTTGGTTGAATATGGAGGGCCACCTGTTTGCATGGCTGGATATGGAGGGCCATCTGTTCAATATTCCAAATAAAGTTGCAAAGTGATTTTTTTTATAAGGGCAGGTATGATATTGACAGTATAATTTTTACTTTCTTTCTAATTATGCCCAACATAAACCTTGCTTTTTGTTTCAAACAACCCCAGTTCCAAGATTTAAAAAGATAAAGGAAAAAGGTGAACCTTATATAAAATGGCAAAATCAACGTTTGCTTTTGGGGATTTATTTTATTCTTTAATATTTCCACACCATGGATGCTTGAATCTGTGGATACCGGGGGCCAACTGTACTTGTGACCTCCTTAATAAAATGTATACATTTAGCATACAGTCTTCCTCTCTTCTACTGCTTTCTACCTTTCCTAGCATTATTGTGTTTTCTAGTGAGTCATTCCTTCTCATGAGGTGGCCAAAGTACAACAGCATGAATAATGCAATTCATGCCATGGTTTAAACTGAGTGGCTGAATCTTGATTTGTATTCACTGTGGATTCAGATTACACTCATCCCTCCACATTTGTGGCTTTGACTCTTGCGGATTTGATTATTCACAGATTTTATTAATATGTTCTCTCTAGGAATCTCTAGGTCTTCCAGCGCAACTCTATGATCAATTTTACCAAATATTGCCTGAAGGACCTAGAGATTCATAGAGAGAACACTCCACTAGGCATTTTTCCTCCAGTGCAATTCTGTGGTCAATGTCTGGCAGAGGTTGATCACATAATTGCACTGGAGGACCTAGAGATTCCTAACAGGTGTTCTCTCAGGTAAAAACAGTGTTTTTGGAAATATAAAAGGAAGAATGGATTTTGAAGCTGATGGATATGATGGAAATAGATATTATATCAACTAGACTAGCACAAAACAGTAAAAATATAGAAAAAGAGGAAAGAAGGAAAGAGACTGACATAGAAGGTTGGGGGAAATTGTATAAATATATAAGGGGAAAATGGCCAAATATTCAAAATGTAAGTTAAACAAAACAAATGAAAGACCTTAGAAAAATACATAAGAAAAAGAGAAAATAAGCTAACAGTTAAGAAAATTGATTTTTTTTAGAACAGTACATCAAAGAGGTAGAATCAAAATATAGAACACTAATATAAGAGGATAAGCAGTTAATAAAAATGTGAAAATGAATCAGTAGAGGATGGACATGGAAGTCTTTGAAAAGTATGTTCATGTTTGTTTGAAATATGTGTGTAAGTTTGTTAATATGTAAAATAGAAGATGGAAAATATGGAAGATGGAAGAGTGCTGAATTAGTGAATTGGAAATGATTAGATTGTTG